AAGCAGAACTTTTAATTTGTTTTCTTTTTTAACTCAAACAAACTTTTGAGTACAAAATGTTCGTTGTCTATGTCAACAGTTGGTCTTATTCAAATGGGAATACTAATATCCAAGATAGCTTGATACATAGGAAAAATATGGCTCACTTAGCAATTACATGGGCACATTGGTTAGTTTGTCGTCTTTGAAAGGAATAAGTTGGCCCAAGCCATCTTCTTGTAATTCCGAAAATCTCTATTGTGAAAGAACGTAACTGTTGAGGATTCTCCAAAGCCTTGATCAACTTTTTGAATCGTTCTTAATTTTTTTTTTTTTTTCAACTCTCAAATTGTCTAAACCATTACATTGCCCACGATATTTCCACGGCCTCTACATTGATATTCCATTTTTAAATTATTCATAGATAAGTACTGTAAACTTATCTATTTTTTAATTGAATCCTGCTAAAAGTATATAAAATTATAAGACTGATATCGGTAAAGTCTACCTCGTTATAACAACATTTTGTCTATAAATATAATACTATACTCTTTGTTACGACTAATTATATTTTCTTGCTGCAACAATTATTTTCATTATAAAATTAACGAATTCATATATATTTTTAAAAGTTATTTTGGAAATGATTAATTGAGAAGTTTTTCATGCCTCTCCAAATCTTAATGTAAACAAAATAGTGTTAATCAATTGACTTTTATTTGACACAGATATTAAAAAAAATTACTTATCAATTATCACAAACTAAATAATAATTATGATATTTTTTTAGATCCTCTATCTTTATAGTTTTCATTTTTAGTAATTTATTTTCAAATTTAGTAACTTGAAAAAAGGAAAAAGAGAGGTATTTTGGAATACCCCAAATAATTTGGACATGGACATGACATTGATTCACATCCACAGAGACCATATCATCACTCTTCTTCTCTTTGTTTGTGCCTTTACTCGAACTCGAGAGGTGGAGCTTAGCCCACAAACCAAATGAGCTGAACGAGTTGGCGCTTTCTCATTTCACTATACAATATTTATTTAGTAAGTTTTCATACGTTCTTTTCAGTAAAAGATAATATTCTTATGGGCCCAACTAACTCCTATAATAGGCTTTTGCTAAAGACAAAAAAAAACTATTCAGAGTCGGTCATTGGGCCGGATACATTTGAATATGAAATAGATTATTATTTTACGTTGCGATTTTTACTTCGTGATTCGTCAAATCGATTGGAAAAGAGATTGAGAAATTCAGTTTTTTCAATAAATTTAGCTGTTACTAATTTTTCTTTAAACAAATATATCAAAAAAAAATTCACGAGAAAATTATAAAATAAATCCCTTCTTTTTTATATCATACGAGTAAATGATCAAGAATCATCAGATAAATCAGACATTCCCTGTAAAAAAATCACAAAGATGCAAAAACTTGAATTTGATTGATCTCACCAACCAGATAAAATTATACTAATTTTTATTAGAAAACTTTTTTGTTTGATTGAAAATTTTCTGTAATAAATAAAAAAAAGTAATTTTACGTTTTATAC